AATACAGCTGCGCATCACAGAAATACATTACAGTTTAACACATATTCACATAGAAAACAGCTGTTTTGAATTGTAATAATATTTCAAAATTTTTACTGTATTTTTGGTCAAATAAATGCAGCTCTCGTGAGCAGAAGAGACTTCTTTCAAGAACATTAAATAAATCTTACTGATCCCTACATTTGAACAGCAGTGTGTTTCACACATTAATTTATTTAATCAGGGACAATGCACATTAATAGTACACAAATATGTAAAATGCACCAGATTTAGCCAACACTGGCTAATTTTCATCCGTAGTCCCTTTTGTTTGTTTGTTTGTTTATAATATGTTTTTATTTAATCCTGTAAATAAGCAAAGTTTAAAGATTTGGTAAAAAATAAAATAAAAACATATTATGACGTAAAATTAATAAGAACTTTATCAAATACTATTTTTAGGTGATCCAGATGTACTTATAACTAATCAGATGTTCATACAATATTTATTTATATATCTATTTTTAAAAGAATTTTTTTTTCAATGCTAATTTACATATTAATATATACATATAGGCCTACAGATTTTTTATTTATTTTTTTATATATTTATGAGATATTTCTTTATATTTAAAAATGTTACACAAATTGATGACAAACAATGTATTTTGTGAGCAATAAATAAATCAAATCGAAAAATGCTGCACTGTAATATGATTTGTGGAAACCCAGCTGTGCGCTTGACTACATAACACACACGGAAATACAGGTGCATCTCAATAAATTAGAATGTCGTGGAGCAGTCTTCCCCATGATTGTGTAGCCTAGTGAACCAAACTGAGAGACCATTTTGAAGGCTCAGGAAACCTTTGCAGGTGTTTTGAGTTGATTAGCTGATTGGCATGTCACCATATTCTAATTTGTTGAGATAGTGAATTGGTGGGTTTTTGTTAAATGTGAGCCAAAATCATCACAATTAAAAGAACCAAAGACTTAAACTACTTCAGTCTGTGTGCATTGAATTTATTTAATACATGAGTTTCACAATTTGAACTGAATTACTGAAATAAATGAACTTTTCCACGACATTCTAATTTATTGAGATGCACCTGTACATGCATGCATACATAACACGCATTTACAGTAATTTACAGTATTATTTGTCCATGTTAATGTTGATTATTCCCGCTCCTGTACCCCGCAGCAGCTCGGTAAACTCGTCCTTGATGTCCTGCGGAAAGTCTCGAACCGAACCTGCGCTGCCCGAACACGGAGGAGACCCCGCGGAACCCGGAGGAGACCCTGCAGAACCCAGCTGACATGACCGAGCTCATCATGACACCAAAACAACCAGCAGCAGCCGAGCAAACGCGTATTTACTCTAGTACTGGCGCATACCAAAATACACAACCGCTTCAATGCAGAGGGTTTTAATCTATAACTCAGGGGCCCCGCATAACATCATCCTCGTGAGAGGGACCCCATCCTAAAATTACTAAGATGTCTATATGCGTTCTTGTATAAAAACCCAATTTATACGTGAAATATTAATTAAGTAAATAATAATTATAAAATACATGTTTCCCTTTTTCCCTTATAGTACTGTTATAATACTGTATTTATTTATTTATTTACAGTTTATTAACTAATTTATTTACTCATTTATTTTAATCTAATTTCGATTTATTTTATTAACTCATTTGTTTGCTTTTTTATTTTAATCTGTTTACTTATTTGTGTTTATTTACTCATTTGTTTACTTATTTCTATCTGCTTATTTGAATTTGTTTATTTAATCTAATTTGGTTTGTTTATTTATTTTAATCTGTTTTATGTTATTTACTCATTCATTTAGCCTACTTATTACTTTTAATCTAATTTTATTTTTTTTTATTTCTTATTTATTTATTTTTAGTTACTCATTTATTTACTTATTTCTTTAGTTTTAATCTGTTTATTTATTTATGTTAATATATTTTTGACTATTTCCTTATTTTTAATGTATTTATTTATTTGTTTGTTTTAATGTTTATTTTTTATTGTAATTTAATTTAATTTTAATTGCATTTTTGTTTAATCTGTTTGATTTTTTGATTATTTATTTGAATCTCATTTCTATTTATTTTTTATTTACTAATTTATTTGCTCATTTAATTTTAATCTGATATTAATTCTTTCAAATCTAATTTTTATTTTTATTTACTCATTCATTTACTTATTTCTTTTAATCTCATTTATGTTTTTTTATTATTATTTATTTATTTATACTTATATTTGTTTGTTTGCTTATTTATGTATTTTAATCTTTGGACTTTGTCAGTGGTTCAGTTATGGTATCCGACTGCAATACCATGGTACTTGAATAAATATATATAATAATGATATAAGTAAAAACAGATAAAATGAGTATTGTGTAACGGTGAGGTTTTTAAATCCGGCATATAGTGTATTTTACGGTATCTGACGGGGAGGAGCTGAACTTTCACACCGGGAAGTTTACGTTCACATGTGGACGGTGTGTGTGTTTAACACACGTCTAATAACACATCAAGCATCATGTCATCAAGCAAAGGGAAAGGCAAAGGGAAAAAGAGACTGAGTGAAGCAGAAGGAGACAGATCCGCGTTAGTCTGTGATGAACCGGATTGTAGCGTCTCGAGCGGCGGATTCACGGTCACGGACTCCGCAGAGCGAGGTAACGGGAACCGGCTTCATGCATTAGTCGGGATAAACGAGTGAAACATGCTCAACCTCAGCAGTCAGGGTTCTGTTAAAGGTGCACTCGAGTCATTCATTAAAACTGTTTTCACACATGAAAAATTAACCTCTCACAGATTTTCCAGAATAAATAAATGGCAAAGTATATATTTTTGTCTCATTTGTTTGATTGGGTTCTCTTTGTCAACGTTCAGGACTTGTGTCATATCTGTGCATCGTTTAGTTACATCAAGGGTCAAATCAAATATAAGTAGCACATTAGAGTTAGAAGTTGCACATGTTGTGTGTGTGTGTGTGTGTGTGTGTGTGTGTGTGTGTGCTGTACAGGTCTGCTGTAAAGAATGTTTTTGCTCAGCTGGCCGAAATGTTCGTCCCAATAGAGAAAAAAGAAAAAAAAATAGAGGGAATAATTTTGTGGAAACGGTGATATATTTTATTTTTTCAGGATTCACAGATGAATAGAAAGTTCAAAAGAACAGCATTTATTTGAAATAGAAATTTTGTGACATTATAAATGTCTTTACTGGAACTTTTGATCAATTTAATGAATCCTTGATGAATAAAAATATTTTTTTCTTACTAACCCTTTTTTTGTCTTACTAACCCCAAATGTGCGTGTGTGTGTATGTGTGTGTGTGTTTCTGTGTCTCTGTGTGTGTGTGTGTGTGTGTGTTTGTCTGTGTGTCTGTGTGTGTTTGTGTGTGTGACTGTGTGTGTTTCTGTGTCTGTGTGTGTGTCTCTGTGTGTGTGTGTGTGTGTGCTCCAGTCTTCAGTGTCACATGATCTTCAGAAATCATAATAATATGCTGATTTGCTGCTCGAGAAACATTTATGATTATTATCCATGTTGGAAACAGTTGTGCTGCCAAATATTTTTGTGGAAACCGTGATGCTTTTTATTTTTTCAGGATTCACAGATGAATAGAAAGTTCAAAAGAACAGCATTTATTTGAAATAGAAATTTTGTGACATTATAAATGTCTTTACTGGAACTTTTGATCAATTTAATGAATCCTTGATGAATAAAAATATTTTTTTCTTACTAACCCTTTTTTTGTCTTACTAACCCCAAATGTGCGTGTGTGTGTATGTGTGTGTGTGTTTCTGTGTCTCTGTGTGTGTGTGTGTGTGTGTGTTTGCAGCTGAAGATAAAGCCCCTCAGCGCTGGCGTTCATATTTGGCTCAGATGAGTGTGAACACCATGAAGACTCTGAACATCTGCATCGGACGTCCGGTCCTGATATCCAGCAGCGTGGGACAGCAGCAGGTGTGTGTGTGTGTGTGTGTGTGTGTGTGTGTGTGTGTGTGAGAGAGATTATCACGGGTAATGGAGGTGATGAGTGTGTTGACTCTCTCTCTCTCTATGTGTGTGTGTGCAGGTGTGTGTGGCGTGGCCAGTATCTCAGTTTCCAGGCAGACGCGTGGGTCTTCAGTCCAGCGCTCAGTCCGCTCTGAGAGTGACGTCTGGATCTCGGGTCACAGTGCAGCCCATCACCGGAGCCCTTCTACAGGCCGAGCACCTGCGGCTGACGCTCAGGTAGAGTCAAACACTGTGTGGAGATTCAGATCAGATGCAATAAGCCATCAGCGGTGTTTATCTCAGCGCTGCTGTGATTGTGAGTGACTGTCGCCATCTGCTGCTGGAGAGCAGGAGCACACACTCGGCCAGATGATCAGTGATTTGACTAGTTAGTTAGATAAAGCTAGATATCATAATAGTACATTTGTGACATGCCGTTGATTGACTCTCGTTATCTTAGCTACTTCTACTGTAATGACAAAGCTGCTAATTCTCAAAACTGTATTTACAGAAACTAGGAGTGGCAGTATATTGAAATAATTAAATAAAATATTATATAATTCCAAAAAAATGGAAAAATGTTCTGGGGGGGGTTTACATCTTTATTTCTAATGAATTTGCATGACTTTTCTAGTATTTTGTAATTACAGTTTAATTTTTTTAGAGCTTTACATAAATAGTAACACATATATTCTTTATAGAAATGTCCATGAATTTTTAAGATGTTATTAATTTCCATTGTGTTTTGAGATGAGTTTTCCCATCACACTTTTAAAATTCTCTCGTATATCCAACTTTTCTGTGAAAATAAAATAAAAATGTCAGTTTACAGACAGACAAATGAAAATAATAAATATGATATCAGTTTGCATCTTAATTTAATTTGAGCTGTTTTAGCTACGTTTTAAGCTTGTTTTGTCTTATTTTAAAATATTTAAGCCATCTTACGTAATTTTTATTTTTATTTTTTTATTTATTTTTTTGTTAATATGTTATATGTTGTTAAAAGTTTCACTTCCCATAATCCGTGACCAACAGAGGAGCATGGATTTAAAACTTTAACAAGACTCAATCTGACACAGGCAGAGTGAGAGACTGGATTTGTTAGATCAGGTAGGGTACAAGTGATTTCAAAACATTTCAGCCGGTTTATATATATCGTGTATATATTATTTATCTCGTATAAGATGCATTTGGTTGAGTTGCACTGCAGTAAAGCGCTTCTTTGTAGTACTGCGGTGAATATCTCTTTAGAAACTAGGAGTGGCAGTATATTGAAATAATTAAATAAAATATTATATAATTCCAAAAAAATGGAAAAATGTTCTGGGGGGGGTTTACATCTTTATTTCTAATGAATTTGCATGACTTTTCTAGTATTTTGTAATTACAGTTTAATTTTTTTAGAGCTTTACATAAATAGTAACACATATATTCTTTATAGAAATGTCCATGAATTTTTAAGATGTTATTAATTTCCATTGTGTTTTGAGATGAGTTTTCCCATCACACTTTTAAAATTCTCTCGTATATCCAACTTTTCTGTGAAAATAAAATAAAAATGTCAGTTTACAGACAGACAAATTAAAATAATAAATATGATATCAGTTTGCATCTTAATTTAATTTGAGCTGTTTTAGCTACGTTTTAAGCTTGTTTTGTCTTATTTTAAAATATTTAAGCCATCTTACGGCCCCCTAGTGGGTCCCGGGCCCCTGAAACACAGGGTTACTTTAGTGTCATTGAGATACTGTTATAATTTTTTATCATGTGCATTCGGAGCATTTTGTGCAGATAGCCTATAAGTCGTAATATTAACGTTATGTTGTATAAATAACGAAGCGTATTCTATGTGAGATAAATGATGAGTTAAATCCCACTGATTAAATCCCGCAGCTCAAAGCAGAAATGCAGAACATTAATAACTACTGTCATATACATGACGTTATAATGAGAGCACTGTTGTAAAACATGTTGTGAATTCTTAGGGTTTCGCTGACGTTTAATGTTAACTATCTTTTAATCAAAACATAAAACATTATTTACCCCGTTTGTATCTGCGAGGCGTCCTTTACACATTTCCTTGTGTGTTAACGTCAGTAATTATGGCTGTCGAATGTCTGACTTGACTCTTGTTCATGTATTCCCCCCGCCCCCCAAACATATGATTCGACTATCGGCAAGATTCTAAAATTCCGATTCGACTATGAAAATCCTTAGTTGGGGACACCCCTCATATATATTCATTTATTTCTATGAAATCTTACAGGCCTGAAGACAAAGTGCTGAATACAGAAGAGTTCAGGAATTATCTCCTGCGGACGCTGGGTAACAAACGCTTGATTTCTCGAAGCCTCTTTGAGCGATGGTGTTATATTCAGACGCTCACAGCGTGGTTCTCTCTTTCAGACGGTCGGGTTCTGCTGCCGGGTGGCTCTGTGTGTGTCTCGTATTTCGGGCGTCAGTGTGTTCTGGCTGTGGATTCGGTGACGGGTGTCGATGGAGAGACTCTGAGACGCTCAGACGGAGTCGCTGTCGATCTCTCCTCACAGCTGGAGCAGCTGTCCATCCAGCAGAGGTCACCTGACCCATCACATGACCCCTCACCTCTGACCCCTGACCCATCACATGACCCCTCACCTCTGACCCCTGACTCATCACATGACCCCTCACATCTGACCCCTGACCCATCACATGACCCCTCACCTCTGACCCCTGAGCCATCACATGACCCCTCACCTCTGACCCCTGACCCGTCACATGACCCCTCACCTCTGACCCCTGACCGATCACATGACCCCTCACCTCTGACCCCTGACCCATCACATGACCCCTCACCTCTGACCCCTGACCGATCACATGACCCCTCACCTCTGACCCCTGACCGATCACATGACCCCTCACCTCTGACCCCTGTCTCTACACCCTGTAAACTGACTGACCCGGTTCTCAGCCCGTCCGAGACGTCGGATCGGTCCGGACGCTCATCCACGGACACCTTCTACGCCGTCTGCAGCTCCTCCACACTGAGCGTGTGTGACCCCGGCGAGCAGGACGAGGCCGAGGAGGGGGGCGAGGGGTCAAAGGTCACGTACAGTATGATCGGCGGCCTCGGCGGTCAGCTGCAGGTCATCAGGGAGACCATCGAGCTGCCGCTCAAACACCCGGAGCTCTTCAGAAACTATGGTGAGTGAGGTCAGAGGTCAGATCCGGCCGGCCCGACCTCTGACCTTCGACCTTTAAACTTCACTTCTCACATCAGTCCTTTGAATCAGTGCGATCCGAATACTTAATGGTAGAGAGTCAGTGTTGTTACTGTTGTTAAAGTGTGAAAATCTTAAAAACAGTTGTGTTAATTGAAATAAAGATTAAGTAAAATAAAACATAAATGTTAGATTAAAATTAGCATTATTAAAATTACTAACTAAAGCTAAAACTGAAATAAAACTAAAACAAAACTGTTTAGAAATAATAATATTAATAAAAAAACTAATAAAAATGACAAAAGCACATAACAAAATTCTTAAAAAATTTAACAAATTAAACTAAAATTCAAAATAATACTGAAAATATAAAAGTGAATTAAAAATATTACTAAAGAATATAATAGTACTAAACTGAAACTATAACTGAAATTAAAAAAACAATAAAACTGTTTCAAAATAAATAATAAAATGACAAGCACATAACAAAATGACAAAAAGTAGACTTAAATTAAAATGAACACCGAAACATTTTTTTTAATTCAAAATATTACAATAAAGTTTGAAATAGTACTAAAAGTACTTACTGAAATACAACTAAAACTGAAAAAAACTAAAATTAAATAAACTATTTAAAATAAAATAAAAATGACAAAGGTGCATAACAAAATTACTAAAAGTTAAACAAAACTAACATGAAAAATTTAAATATAACATTATATTTTCACATATAACATTAATCGGAGTGACAAAAAAAGTGAAATCAGCTCAGATTTTTTTCCTCTTTTTGGCTCATTATTTAATCAGACTGACATTCCCACAGAAAGTTAATTAGAAATGCTAAATATTTATTTTACTTGCTGACGCCACTAGATAGAATAAAACTTGTGGTAATGAGGTCATGTGACGCATGTTTGCAGTGATGTGGTCATGTGACGTGTGTCTGTCGAACAGGAATCCCGCCTCCTCGAGGGCTGCTGCTGTATGGGCCGCCTGGCACAGGGAAGACCATGATTGGACGAGCCGTAGCCAATGAAGTGGGAGCTCACATGAGTGTCATCAACGGCCCCGAGATCATGAGCAAGTGTGTGAGAGGAACCAGTGCAGGGACAATACCAACAACACAAAAGAGTCACATTTATTAAATATATACTGTATATATACATTTTGGCTAAATCTAAACTGATAACCAAAACAACAGCAACCTAACTAAAGAACAATAAATCACAATATTTAAATAATCAATAATTTGATCATCAAAACAAGGACAACATAGCTAAACAATAAAAGTCACAATTTTTAAAAATATATATTTATATATATTTCAGCTGAACTGAAAATGATCATCAAAACAACAACAACATAAAGTACAAAAAAATAAATCATATTTTTAACTCTATTTATATTTATTTCAGCTAAACTGAACTTGATAATCAAAACAACAGACTAAAGAACAATAAAAAGTAACATTTTCTTGAATATATATATAGTATATATAAACTATATTTTTATAACTATAATATATTTATAATACATGTATTATATATACATATTAGAAAATATAAATAAAACACAGTATATTTAATATCTAATTGTATTTGATTAATATTGATTGTCATAAGTGTGTAAATGTGTTTGTGTCTCTGCAGGTTTTATGGAGAAACTGAAGGTAGATTGAGGCAGATTTTCTCACAGGCCTCACAGAGGTAACCATACTTCATCTCACTGTGTGTGACGAGGTCAGACGCTCATGAATAATCACTGTGTGTGTGTGTGTGTGTCGCTGTGTGTGTGTGTGTGTGTGTGTGTGTGTGTGTGTGTGTGTGTGTGTGACAGGCAGCCGGCCATCATCTTCATCGATGAGTTGGACGCTCTGTGTCCCAGGAGAGAAGGAGCTCAGAATGAAGTGGAGAAGCGGCTCGTGGCCACTCTGCTGACGCTCATGGACGGGATCGGATCTGTGAGTATCTGACTGTTTCTGACTTGAGTCTGTTTCTAGTGAACATTACTGAATCTTCAGGATCTCAAGAGACTCTGGATCAGCAGCTCTCAAAGGGCCCAACACGTTATTACAGGGTGTCCGCGGGTCCTTAAAATGTCTTAAATAACGTTTTCCTAATATAAGGCCTTAAAAAGTCTTAAAATATCTTAAATTCGGATTCGATGGGTCTTAAATAGTTTTGGTCTCATTACTGCTAAAATATCTTCAGTCTGACGGAGCTAATGACTTTACAATCATTGGACAGGCCGAAGATTTTTTCTTCCTTTTTTTTGCAAATTGTAGTGATTTTGTACTTCAATTTAAACTAAAAAAGAGAGAAATTATACTGTCTGAAATAATATTACATTTATTTACATTTTTTTTTTAATATTTTATTTTATTTCAGTTAACATCTATTTCATTTCAATTAAAAAAAATGTTATGGTTATAGTTATAGTTAACAATAATAATCCTGGTTTATATCTATTTTTTGTGTGTTTTTAGCATTTTAATTAAGTTAAATCTAAAGGAAAACACTGCTTGAGTTGAGTTATTTCATTATAATATACAGTTATGATATCATTAATATGCAAAGATATTTGACCACAGAATGCCACAATTGACCAATCACAATAAATACTTTCAAGAGACACGCGTAATTAATATGTATGAGGGAAAGTGTTTTTTTTTTCTTCATTATTTTTTATGGGTTTTTTTTGCAGCTCATTTAAATATTCCTGTGGTCTGAAAATGATTTCTTTCTTTGAATCATATATTTTCTTTTTTAGCTCAAATGGTGGTGACATTAATTTCAAAGTACAAATATTGCATGCATGCGCTTATAAACTGAATGTGTAATAATAATTATTCAGAGATTAGAATAATATCGTTGCAAATAATTTTAGATGAAGTACAGCATGTCATGCACCTCAAAGCAGGTTAACGTGAATATTTAAAGTGTGTCGTTGTTGTCATCTGTGACCCTGGAGCACAAAACCAGTCTTAAGTGTCAATTTTTCAAAATTGAGATTTATACATCATCTGAAAGTTGAATAAATAATCTTTCCATTGATGTATGGTTTGTTAGGATAGGACAATATTTTTCTGAGATACAACTATTTGAAAATCTGGAATCTGAGGGTGCAAAAAAAATCTAAATATTGAGAAAATCATCTTTAAAGTTGTTCAAATGAAGTTCTTAGCAATGCATATTACTAATCAAAAATTAAGTTCTGATATATTTACGGTAGGACATTTACAAAATATCTTCATGGAACATGATCTTTACTTAATATCCTAATGATTTTTGGCATAAAAGAAAAATCTATAATTTTGACCCATACAATGTATTTTTGGCTATTGCTACAAATATACCCCAGCGACTTAAGACTGCTTTTGTGCTCCAGGATCACATTTGTTTTCTGTGCTCAGGAGGGTCACAGCGGGCAGCTGCTGGTTCTGGGAGCCACTAATCGTCCTCATGCTCTGGATCCGGCGCTGCGGCGGCCCGGACGCTTCGATAAGGAGCTGGAGATCGGTGTTCCCGGCGCAGACGGGCGGATGGATATCCTGCAGAAGCAGCTGCGCTCCATGCCGTGTGACGTCTCCGCCGCAGAGCTCCGGGAACTAGCCGACGCGGCACATGGATACGTGGGAGCCGACCTCGCCGCCGTCTGCAAGGAAGCTGGTGAGTGTTCTTATAAAACACAGCTGTTTGACCTCTGACATCTGTGTGCTCAGTATGTGTGGATTCCATCCTGAAGAGCTCACACAGAAATGCATGGGTTATGAATAGGACGAGGAGAAAGAGAAATGAAAGGAAAATGAAAAATAATCCAGGTGCTAGAGCTGAACAGTTAATGGTAATAATATCGAAATCAGTGCAATTACTATGCGCTTGGCTCTCCGCTGCAGATGTTTGTGTTTGTGCTCTTATTTTCAATGTTGAATGTGTCTTCAATACTTGCGCTTCCTCCTCGGGTCACAATGACCTGCAGACAACAGCACTTCCTGTGAGACACGCAGCCACACACAGAGAGAGAGAGAGAGAGAGAGAGAGAGAGAGAGAGAGAGAAAATGTAAAAATAGACTGAGCAGTTTGCTTCATCAGTGAGTCTCTGAGGGAAGGTTTGGTTTTCTTTGGGAAGGTCAAGACCTGTGAGTGTGTGTGTGTGTGTGTGTGTGTGTGTGTGTGTGTGTGTGTGTGTGTGTGTGTGTGTGTGTGCGTGT